CTAGTCATGGTTAAACTCTACAAGGCTTAAAATGGACCAGCTGATGGGGTGTTAAACATGGCTTGTCCCTGTCTACACTGACTGCTAAGCCATGATTATCATCATCTTAGTTAACACAGTGCCCCAAGGTCGTGTTCTAACACAACCTAATTTCTCAACAAGAAAGACGAGGGCCATTGAAAACCATTTGTATGAAGAGAGATTGAAAAGGCTGGGGCTATTAACCAGAGAGAGGAGATGAATAAAAGGGGATGTGATAAAAATACTCAAGATAATGCATGGGGAAGAGAAGGTAGCCCAGGAGCTCCTGTTTCCCATCTCATAACCCACAAACAATGAAACTGAAAGGAGGAAAATTCAAAACAGAGGAAAAGGAAATACTTGGAAAGGGAAGCCTGTGGAACTCATTGCCACAAGATGCCATTGAGGCCAAGAGCTTAGCAGGATTCAGAAAGGGACTGAACACTTCTATAAACTATTATAACATCAGGCGTTATAATGGTAAATACTAAAAAAAACTTTGACGTAAACTCTAAAGATGGAGGGTTTAGATCCCATCCAATCCCCAACGGCTAGGAGTCAGAAAGAAATTTGTCCTGGGGCAGGTGTCCCACAACTGGCTGCTGCAGGGACCTGGCACCTTTCTCTGAAGCATCTGGTGCTGGAGACAGGATACTGGGGTAGTCTGGGAAGTGCCCTGTTCCTCATAGAGAGGAGCCCTGCATGCAAAGGCACAGCGCAGGGTTGTCTCCCAGACAGTGATGGGCATCCAAGAGCACACGACCCCATCGTGAGCAGCGCATGCCCCAGGTGGGGTTTATACTCTGCAGGAGGTGGGAGGGAGAGGCAGGAAACGGAAAGCGGAGTGCCCCAGGGGTTGGTCTTGGGGCCCGTTTTGTTCAACATCTTCATTAATGATCTGGATGATGGCATGGATTGCACCCTCAGCAAGTTTGCAGATGACACTAAACTGGGGGGAGAGGTAGATATGCTGGAAGGTAGGGATAGGGTCCAGAGTGACCTAGACAAATTGGAGGATTGGGCCAAAAGAAATCTGATGAGGTTCAACAAAGACAAGTGCAGAGTCCTGCACTTAGGACGGAAGAATTCCATGCACTGCTACAGGCTGGGGACCAACTGGCTAAGTGGCAGTCCTGCAGAAAAGGACATGGGGATTACAGTGGACGAGAAGCTGTATATGAGTCAGCAGTGTGCCCTTGTTGCCAAGAAGGTTAACGACATATTGGGCTGCATTAGTAGGACCATTGCCAGCAGATCGAGGGAAGTGATTATTCCCCTCTATTCGGCACTGGTGAGGCCACACCTGGAGTATTGCATCCAGTTTTGGTTCCCCCACTACAAAAGGGATGTGGACAAATTGGAGATAGTCCAGCGGAGGGCAACGAAAATGATTAGGAGGCTGGGGCACATGACTTATGAGGAGAGGCTGAGGGAACTGGGATTATTTAGTCTGCAGAAGAGAAGAGTGAGGGGGGATTTGATAGCAGCCTTCAACTACCTGAAGGGGGGTTCTTGAAGGGGGGTTCCAAAGAGGATGGAGCTTGGCTGTTCTCAGTGGTGGCAGATGACAGAACAAGGAGCAATGGTCTCAAGTTGCAGTGGGGGAGGTCTAGGTTGGATATTAGGAAACACTATTTCACTAGGAGGGTGGTGAACCACTGGAATGGGTTACCTGCCACTATTCAGATCTGGTTCTATTTTCGATCAGTGTGTCTAATAGAAGGAACTTCAATGGAGCCATATTCCACCAGACTGGGCAGTTCTGTTGAAATCTAACAGCTTTGTGAAATTAGGTCAATTTCACTGGAATTCCATTGAAGGGGGGAAAATTTCCAACATCCCGATTCAACATCTTCAATTGTTTTTCTGTTGGATCATATTGCATATTGTACTGCAATATGCAACATTTTAAGTTAACATTGCCATTAAATATTTTGAACAACTTCAAATGATTTTTTTCCCTGGAATTTTGAAATTGCTGGTTTTCGTTCTGATTTGGAACAAAGCCAAATTGCAAAACTTCAAAATCCTTCATAAAGTGGAACTTCTGTCCCCCACCCCCCTTCTAATACCTAAGGTATTTACACAGTGCTAATGGCTGAGTTCCTATGGGCGAGGGATTCTACAAACAGGTTAGCTAAAATATTATTTTTCTCCTCGAAGAAAACAACGGCATTGCATAACCTATGAAGAAAAGTCTGCCGGGCACCCAAGATGCAGGGCCTTACAGAATCTGGCCCTTTGAACTGGTATTGAAGCAATTCCCCAACACAGGGGTAGAGAGCAGTGTGCAGCTGGAGTTGTCGACTTCCATGTGACATGCAAGACCAAGGCCCTAACCGCATGGTCATTGAAGATCCAGGATATTTTTTTACAAGAGCATGAGAAAATGTTATGCCACAACTGCACCAAACGGCCTTTGTCTTACTTATCCTGGGCTGCCTCTGATCTCAAAGACACAGATGTCAATCAGGAATAGCACCCTGGATTTCAGAGGAGTTATTCCTGGATTTGCACTGGAATAAATGAGATCAGAATCTGACCCCCAGAAGCCACAATCCTCATCATATATGAACGCTTCTACACTACTGAGTTCTTCATTACGCTTTATGGATTTTGACTTCTCATTAACAGGCCAGCTCCCAGCTAAAGCCAGACAGAGCTAAGTTTGGCCTAGAAAACTTGGACATGAATAAATTCCTTATGTGATAAATTTCATTGGACACAGACGTTAGAGGTGGAAAAGATGGGGGGGAGATCACATCTCGCCCTGCCCGATGCAGGATTATTTCTTGCACTGAACGTTCAGTTTTAAATGACTCCAGGAACAGAACTTCCACCACATCCCTTGGAAGATGGCTCTACAGTCCAACAGACCTCCCAGCCTCAATTTGCTTCCTCTCAGTTCTAGAGAATAAGCCGCAAGCTGTCACATGTAATCATTCCCTTGCCTTATCTTGGGTAAAGCCTGGGACTGTCTAGCTTGGTTTTTGGCCTGCATTTATACGGATGGGAAACTTTCCCATGAATGCTGGGAAAAAGACACCCCCTGATTCATGGAACTCTCTCAAGAGCTGACAGGGAGTGTAATAGAGCATTGGATCCAACTGCCAGCTACCTGGGCCTTCACAGATGTGCTCCTGACCACTCCGAATTTCCCAGTGATAACAGGGGAAATCGACTGCTGAGCCATTTGCCCTATATACTTCAGTGGGATTCCTTCAGTTAAGACACCGGGTGCAGCTCTGGTCCCCTGGCTACCGCAGGCTATAGTACAAACAGAACGGGTTCAGAGACAGGCAGCCAGAATTAGTGGCCTGGAAAAGTCACCATCTGAAGAGACACTGAATAAGCTGGAACTGTTTGTCTTAGACAGGAGATGAGTAAGAGGGGATGTGATAAAGGGAGTCAACGTCATGGATGGAGTACCTATTTTTACCTTAGGCATAATACAAGGGCAAGGGGCCACTCAGTGAAACTAAAAGATGACAAATGTAAAAACCGATCAAAGAAAACGCTTATTTTAAAAACAAACATACCATTGGCCCATGGAACTCATTGCCACAAGATCAAGGTCAAGAGCTGAGCAGAACTAAACATTGACAGCCTATAGTGAGACCAGCCACAGTACCTCGAGATAGCATTTCTTTTCATAAGGGACCTAACCCTCATGTTTCAGGGAATAAATTGAGCACTAACTGATGGGGGCTGGAATAAATTTCCCCAGCAGCAGGTTTTTCCATAACTGTCCATTACTGGGAGTTTAACACCTTCTTAACAAACAGCTGTCCCATGTTGGAAATGGGCTATTGGACAAGATACTCTGATCCGCTACAATAATTGCTATATTTCCTTATTACTTTGCAAAATAAATGCTAGCAGTAGAGGGCCCGTAACTCAGAACTGAGCAGTTCTGATTCCATCTAGCAGTGGGCATCGGTGACACATTCACCCTGGCCAGGGCATTAACATGGCCAGTAGTGAACAATGAACCAAATTCTGCCTCCACTGTATCTGTACAAACCCAGTGAAGTTATTGGGATTTCATGGGTATAACAGATGGCAGAATTTGGGCCTGTGTCTATTTGGTAACAGTGAGCACAAGCCACAACATCTGGATCTCGGTTTAAAGAAAGACGTTTCAGAGTTTGCAGAGTATGACCAGATCTGCTGATGTTCAATCACATCCTCTTGTGAGTTTGGTTTGGTCTATTACAGAGGAGGGTTGTTTACACAACTCAGATCGGAGCTTGGATCACAGCTCCCTTCTACAGCCATGGGGCAGGCCAGAGTCAAGGTTTCGTTTCAAGCCGATCACTGTAATCAAGTATGTCTATTCCCTTTAGCACATACACAACCCAAGCTAGGAAAGTGGCACCCTCTAGAGTCTGGTCCACATAAGAGTCTACTACATCTGTCAGCAAATGGCATTATTCCTTTAGTTTAAGTATTTCAGTCTGAAGCTTTTTAATGCTGAAGGTCCCAGGTTAAAGGCTGCTGGCACTCAACCAGCCCGTTACTAGAGCTGGATGAAAATTTTCTGTCAAGCACTAAATTCACTGAAAAATGGAGTTTTGGCGCAACCAAAACACTTCGCAAATTTGGGTTGAATTCAATTAATAATTTCGGCCAAATAAAAAATGAGGAACCATTTTTTTCAAAAAAGTCAAGACGTCATTTCAAACCAATGTTGGAACATTCGACCCGAAGAAAGGATTTTCATTTTTTTGTTTTGTTTTGGAGAGAAAAACGAGGGGAAAAAATCAATTTTGGTACAAAACTAATTGATTTTTTTTTCAGATGATAAAATCAATTATTGGCTCAGCTCTAATTGTTACATATGCACATAACAGCATATCTCACACATGGCTACAACAGATTGTTGTCTGTAAAGCAGCAGCTTCGAGGCCAAATTAATAAAACATTTTCATTCATTTCATCATTTTATTTCCTCAAAAATATACTAACAAGGGCTTGGCTGCATTTTCAAAACCAACGACCACTCGGTCTCATGTAAACATATATTTTTTGTGAAGCATCAATTATAAATTATTGTAAGCAGCTGTTTCCTATAAGAAATTAATTTAAACACTGAAAAAAATAATAATGATACAAACTAATGTTTTCCCTCCCCATCCCCCTTCCCCCAACCCAGTCCTGTGGTCGGCTCAGTCTACCCAGCTCTAATTATGAGAGGTCATGTGTCGGGATAAATGGTGCCGTTCCCGAAAGTATTCGTGGCAGATTGGACACGTTAGCTTCTCCTCCCGTCTCCTCTTGCACTGAGAGTCGGCCGAGGAGTAGTCCTTTTTGTGATGGGACCGCATGTGGAAGACTAAGTCGGACGTCATGCGGAAGGAGAGGTTGCATTTTGCGCACCAGTTCTGGGCGGCCACCCCGAAGGATGTGAAGGTGGGCGGCAGCAGAGTCAAGGAGGAAGAGGAGGAGGTGGTGGTGGCGGTTTGCAGCTGCCCCCCAGTTTGTTTTGGCCACGGTTCTGAGGTATGTGGGAAAGCGTTGCTCCGGCTGTTGCTCGTCTGCAGCGCCTGAGAATTACACAAGTCACTGACAAAGAACTTGGAATTCAAAAGGTTGCTGTAGCACATGATGTCCGCTGTGGTGATGAAGCCAGACAGCTCCCCCAGGCTCTTCGGTAGCTCGGTCATGGGATGGGAGGAATACCCAGCAGCCCTGTCCACCAGACACTTGGTTGGCTTACTAAAAGCACTTTTCTGCTCCCCCCGGGCTCGGGTGGGCCATACGAAAGAGAACGCGCTACCTGAGGAGCTCAGCACCACGTCCTTGGGCATCTGCTCTTTGCCAAACTGGCCCAGGCCACCCCCTTGCTCCACCTCCTTCGCTCTCTCATTCCTCAGCCGGTCCTTCATCCTCCTGACCTCGGTGAAAGCGCTCTGTTTCTGCTCCAAGGCATCCTTCTTCGCCGACAGCTTCCCTGAGCTGAGCTTCCAGACGGAGCCAGCGAAGGCGTGTTCCCCCACCGCCTCCTCCTTGCCCCCATAGCTGTTAGCTTCCCCTAGGTTATTTGTCTTCTCCAACAACACCGTTTTCCTGCTCCTGTTGCTCTCCACCTCTTCCGACTTTGTTCTCTTCTCCCCTGACAGCCCACGGGGGTCGTCTCTCCACGTGGCTATTTTGACCTCCAGATCCCTTGCCAGGCTGTGGAAGTTTGTGGCCTGGTCAGGCAAATGGCCCTTCCCAGCCTTCTGCTCCTGGAGATTTCTCCACGGCGGGGCGTTCTTCTCCGGGACGCAGAGGAAGCGGACGTGGGCCAGATAGGAGTGCCCGCCTTTAAAGCCCTGCTCACATTCCGGGCACCTGAGCTCTGTGGAAACAGAAAATGGCCATTGAGTTTTGCGTAGTCAGAGTCCCGGCTGCTTTTAAGGCCTGGCTGACACTGGTCTAAACCAGGAGCAACTCCATAGCTGGGTCACTGGGGTCAAGCTAACTGGAGTGCAGGGTCAGGTGCCATCTTGCTACAGGAGGCACCTCGCATACATTTCCTTCCATACGTTCCACACCCCGATGCTGGCTGCTGAGTCAAGTGCTCACAGCAGACACTGGCCTGAATCGACCCTCCGAACTCTGTGGCAGCTCAAAGCCCAAAACCCAGACCTGCGCCTGATCTTGCCAACAGGCAAATCATCTTTACAATGGTCTCAATGAGAAACCCAGCTTCAAGCACCCCTGTGGATCCAAAAGCAGAATCCAAATGTGGCTTGCACGTCTCTCTACTCCATAGATCACTCGGGAAGCCAGCATACAGGGGACAGTCCTACCAGTTATACTGACAGAGTTACGCCGGTATTCGCAGAACACTCCTATTCTGGGATAAGAGGCCTTTTTTCTATTTCATTTACATCCCCTCCAAAGCGACATAAGCTAAACTGATAAAAAGGCTGTCTTATACCGCATGTCTATGTGGGAGGAGGGTTATACCAATATAACTCTACTGATTTAAATTCACACCTTAGGTTATACAAAAAAAACATTCCCACTTTGAGTTGGTGTGATAGGGCCCTCAGTGGCCGGGCAGCCCAGTGGCTAGATCGTTGGTTAGGTGGGCTATAGGGAGACCTGAGCCCTCCTTCTCCCTCAGGTCCTGGCCCAGGGTCCTGTGTCGTTCAACCCCTAAACAGGGGAGGTGGATCTTTTTCCCAGCCGTGAGGAGAGGTTCAGGGCCTGTTTTCCTGGCCTGCTCCCTATGCAAGTCTTTTAGTTGGGGAGTGGCCCCACTAGTCCAGGTGCCCAGGGCCGTCCCTACCCATACACAAAGTATGCAGCTGCATTAGGCCACCAGGAAATTTGGGGCACCAAATTTCCTGGTGCCCTACACAGCTGCGTGCTGCTCCAGCCCCTGCTCTGCCCCTTCCCCATGGCCCCCGCCCCTGCTCTGTACCAGCCCCACCTCTTCCCACCCCTGCTCCGCCCCAGCCCCGCCCCCACTCCCCTGAGGACTGCAGCAGGGGTCGGGCCTGCACTCACCAGCAGCGGTAAGTGCAGCGACCCAGCCCCAGCCCGCTCCATGTCGCTGGCTCCCAGCCGCGCCGCTGGTGAGTGCTGGGGGGCGGTTGCCCCTACCCCCAAGTCCCAAGGCTGGGAGCCAGGGGAGCAGAGCGGAGCAGGCTGGGGCCAGGTCACTCCACTTCCCGCCGCCCTGTGAGTGCGGGGTCGGGCCTGGCTTGCACTCACCGGGCGGCGGGAAGTGGAGCAACCCAGCTCCAACTGGCTCCGCTTCGCCGGCTCGTGCTGGAGGGTCGTTTCCCCTCTGCCCCCCAACCCAGCCCCCACACACGGAGGCCTAGGGCTGTGTAGGGCACCAAAATGGCCTTGACTGAGCCAGGCTCCCTTCTTTTCTCCCCCCCTCCAGGCCTGGCATTGGCTGCAGGTATAACGGGGCAGGGCTAGCTGAACCCAGAGGTTTTCTTTAACCCCTGCTGTGCCCGGCAGCAGTCTCTCTGCTCCTTCACAGGCCACTATAACCAATTTTAAACCGATCTAAGTGTGTCCACACACACAAGTTGCACTGGTTTCACTAAAATCAGTTTGAAAGCAGACTGGGTGCAGACTCCTGTGTGGACACATTTCTATTGGTTTAAAATGGGTTATAGCAGACAGCAAATTTACTAACACAAGCTATCCTGCTACAAGCCAGATTTAAATCAATTCGAGACCCTCCACACTGGGTAGCACCAATTTGACAAAGTCTGTTTAAAAATCACACCATAAGTTACACTACAGCCTTTTGAGTAGTGGTGTGAAGCTGTCAATCTTTCCCTATGCACAGTGTTTCTTTAAAAGATTGTACTGCTTTCTGTGTTACTCATTTTCAAAGCAATTCACTTAGTATAAGTGAATCTCTCCCAGCCAAATGTGTTCCCAAGAGCCCCTGAGAATCAGGACCATCTACACTTACCCAAGTCTTGGCTAATTTAAGCAGATTGAGCTGCATCAAGAAGTGTTCAGACCCTGAGCTGTTTTCTGTAGCCCAGTTCAGTTACATCATTCGAGCTAACCTCTGACCCCAGGGCAGCACCCCCAGAACCCCTAGGCTCGAGCAGCTAGCCCAAGTCTCCGCTGGAGCAGCAACGTCCACACAGCTATCCTTAGTGAGCTAGCTCAAGCCCTGTTAGCACAAGTCTATCTACCATGGCTGGAAGACTCCCTTCATTGACTCCAGCTCAGTGCACCAGTAAAAAGATTTGCTTCTAACTGCCCAACCTTGAAAGCCCAGCCTGGGATCTGAGAGTCAAGCTGGTCCCTTCCCCGCTGGCCCAGCATCACCTGTAACAAAGATCTTGCCCTCAGTGCTACCCGCACAACCTCAGCATCTGGCAATTTTCCCTTCAGTACTCACCGGTTTGGAGAGTCCTGGCTTTGATCGCGCTGAAACCCAGGAGGCTGGAAAGCTCCTCATCGTACCACACAAGGAGCTCCTCGTTTTTGCCTATTTTCCTAGTAGATCGATAGTACAACTGGCTGTTTTTTAAATAGGCTTCCAAGTTCTGTTCCTTGCTATTGGCAGCTGCTTGAACGAGCCTCATCCAGGGCAGTCCAGAGGGGCTGTGCACCGAGGTGACATCTACCTGTTAGACACAAGGCAAAAAGGTAGACAATAGGGACCTAGAATGCACAAATTCATCAACACTCTCGGCAAAGCCTGTCCTTTCCTGTCTTACACGTGATCCAATATGTAAGGGCTGTGGCCCCGACGCAGCAAACACTTACACAAGGGGCCTGATCACAGTGTCTGCAGCCTTCCTGAATTATACCCCACGCCCAGGGGACCACAGAGATGGTGGAGCAGGACAGAGACACCAGAACGCAGCAGGCGGCACCGTCTTAAATGATGGAACATCTTGTGCCATCCCGCTCAAAGAGTGACAACCCCCCGATACTCACCTTCTCTCCCTGCCTTGCTGCTCCCCCTCCACCTCTCCCCAATCTTCCTCTGCAGCATACGTGCCCTCAGCCCTGACACAGTCATTTGGGAAATCTAACCTGCCCACTTACCTCTCTCCTCTGGCTGCAAAGAGAAGGAGCCTCCCCAATACACACAAACACACACACGCACAAGGTTCTTCCTCCATCATTTCAGTATCACCCCGTCTCTAACAGGCCATGTCAGGGCAGGACTGTCTTCGAGGGGTTGTGACACAGTGACCTGCTGTTGGTTTGCTGCTCCATGACAGCAGCTCTTTCCAGACCTGACACACTCACTACACCTAACACACTGTTGTCACGATATATACCCACAAGGTGGCATGTAATATATCACTGGACAACTAATAACTCACTGATCATTAATATCTTTGCATGGTGCATGTAGAGGGTCTGTACAAAGAGTTATGGATATGTGCTTGGATTATGTTATTAAAATGTGCGTAAGTCTAGCCTGCCCTAGACAAAGGAATGAGTATCTGCTTGGCTGACCAGCCTGATTGTCAGGCAGGGAACACAAAGGTACATTTAAACAAAGCCATCAGCCTCACGAGTGGGGGAGATAGTCTCTGGACTATAAAGTCAGGGGGCCTGAACCTCAGCTGAGAAGTAATTCATAGAATCATAGAATATCAGGGTTGGAAGGGACCTCAGGAGGTCATCTAGTCCAACCCCCTGCTCAAAGCAGGACCAATCCCCAATTAAATCATCCCAGCCAGGGCTCCGTCAAGCCTGACCTTAAAAACCTCTAAGGAAGGAGATTCCACCACCTCCCTAGGTAACCCATTCTAGTGCTTCACCACCCTCCTAGTGAAAAAGTTTTTCCTAATATCCAACCTAAACCTCCCCCACTGCAACTCCCCATTACTCCTTGTTCTGTCATCTGCTACCATTGATTACACACAAGATTACTGTACTACAAAAGTGCAGTGAGTCAGGTCTTTTCTCAACGCTAATGACACACTGGTGATTAATATCACTGTGAAATGTCTGTATTGACACTATATGAGGAAATATGGCTAATCACTGATATTACGCTTTAAAGTCTGTGACCAAACACAGGGATAAACAAGCTTTCTCCCAGCCAGGAGGCAGAGAAGGCAGCTATCTACCTGTCTCCAGTGAAATTAAGCAAGCCTCATTTCCATACAAATCAGCAGGGACATGAGAAGTTCACCGGAAGGGAAGCATTGAGTCTGGGGACAAAACACGGAGCTTGAGAAAACATAAGGAAAGAGAAGAAGCCATCTTGGTATCCACAAGGGGCCAGACCTCTTGCAAGCAGAGAAAGACAGGAGGTTGGAGTCTCTGCAAGACTTGCTATCACTTAACCTAAGGCCTTTTGTTAATAAACGTCTTTTATTTTTACTGGAACCCAACACAGTGCTGTGCTAGCAGGGCAGGGAATATTTCCCCCAGCTGTCATGTGCTTTTGTCGCTTTAAAGGAGCAACAAACTCTATTCATTCTCGTAGTGCTCCAGGACAGAGCTGGCCACTGCAGGGCAGATGGTCTGGGGGAAATTCAGGACTGGCAAGTGTTGAGGTCCCCAGCAAGTAGTAACCCAGGCTGGAGGAGAGCGAAGCAGGGCTGTTGTGCTATAGACAGGCTGCTGTGGTCAGAGAGCTGAACCAGGGCTGCACGGCACACAGACACTCAGGGGACTGCAGGCTTGTCTGCTGGCTGTCCGTGTCCAGGCTGTGAGCCCCTGCAGCAGCGAACTGAAGGCACACAGGGTTACAGGGCTAGCAGTGACACTCCCCTTTACTGGTGTGGGTTGCCCCTCAGAACATCAGCCCTCCAGGCCCTGTGATGTCATGGAACAGGTCCTCAAGGAAATCATTTTGAAGCACTTGGAGGAGAGGAAGGTGATCAGGAACAGTCAACATGGATTCACCAAGGGCAAGTTATGCCTGACCAACCTGATTACCTTCTATGATGAGATATCTGGCTCCGTGGATATGGGGAAAGCAGTGGACGTGTTATTCCTTGACTTTAGCAAAGGTTTTGATATGCTCTCCCACAGTATTCTTGCCAGCAAGTTAAAAAAGTATGGATTTGGATGAATGGACTATAAGGTGGATAGAAAGCTGGCTAGCTTGTCGGGCTCAACGGGTACTGATCAACGGCTCGATGTCTAGTTGGCAGCTGGTATCAAGCGGAGTGCCCCAGGGGTTGGTCCTGGGGCCGGTTTTGTTCAACATCTTTATTAATGATCTGGATGATGGGGTAGATTGCACTCTCAGCAAGTTCGCAGATGACACTAAGCTGGGAGGAGAGGTAGATACACTGGAGGGTAGGGATAGGGTCCAGAGTGACCTAGACAAATTGGAGGATTGGGCCAAAAGAAATCTGATGAGGTTTAACATGGACAAGTGCAGAGTCCTGCACTTAGGAAGGAAGAATCCCATGCACCGCTACAGGCTGGGGACCAACTGGCTAAGTAGCAGTTCTGCAGAAAAGGACCTGAGGATTACAGTGGATGAGAAGCTGAATATGAGTCAGCAGTGTGCCCTTGTTGCCAAGAAGGTTAACGGCATATTGAGCTGCATTAGTAGGAGCATTGCCAGCAGAACAAGGGAAGTGATTATTCCCCTCTATTCGGCACTGGTGAGGCCACATCTCGAGTATTGCATCCAATTTTGGGGCCCCCACTACAGAAAGGATGTGGACAAATTGGAGAGAGTCCAGCAAAGGGCAACAAAAATGATCAGGGGGCTGGGATACATGACTTAGGAGGAGAGGCTGAGGGAACTGGGCTTATTTAGTCTGCAGAAGAGAAGAGTGAGGGGAGATTTGATAGCAGCCTTCAACTACCTGAAGAGGGGTTTCAAAGAGGATGGAGCTAGGCTGTTCTCAGTGGTGGCAGATGACAGTGACAGAACAAGGAGCAATGGTCTGAAGTTGCAGTGTTGGAGGTCTAGGTTGGATATTAGGAAAAACTATTTCTCTAGGAAGCTGGTGAACCACTGGAATGGGTTACCTAAGGAGGTGGTGCAATCTCCATCCTTAGAGATTTTTAAGGCCCAGCTTGACAAAGCCCTGGCTGGGATAATTTAGTTGGTGTTGGTCCTGCTTTGAGCAGGAGGATGGATTAGATGACCTCCTGAGGTCTCTTCCAACCCTAATATTCTATGATTCTATGTGTGAAGAGCTGCCTGTGGTGCAGTTTCTGCCAGCCAGCAGCACACACAGGTAGTTCTAACCCTACATGCTGAGCGTCACTGCTGCCCACCCTCCCAACCGGTAGCTGGCTCCTGCAGTCCCCATGCCAACCCAGCTTGCAGCTTCCTCTGTCCATCCAGCGCTCCAACCTCTCCCGGGCAGCCTCGGCTGCTTTACTCAGAGCTCCCCATGCTTCTTGCTCCCCACCTGGCTGGTTGCCTGGCCTCTCTCCTGCTCTCCAGCGCCCACTCCCCTGGCAGCATTCAGATCCCCACCACTACCAGAAATGCAGAGCTCCCTGGCCCTGCAGAGCTCCTTCCCTGAGAGGCTCTCAGATCACCTCACTGCCCAATCATTCAGCCTCACTCACGCCACACCTGCCCAGTCCAAGATAGGCCAGGACCGTTATCCTTGTGGTACAGATGGGGAAACTGAGGCAGAGGGAGATGAAGCGACTGGCCCAGGGTCACCCATCAAGTCAGTTGAAGAGGTGGGAACTCAAGTTTCCTGGTCTGCTCTCTAGTCAATAAGCCTCAATCCGAAAAGCATGAGTATGGTACACCAGATAGAAACCAGAAACTCCATTCCATTGTTCTCCATTGTCAATTCACTCCAGATGGGAAAGTCCTAGAGAATTTAATGTAAAATTATAACCTCTCCCTAGGCTATAATGAACAATCCATTAGAATTTAATAAAGAACTAGATCCCTGCACCTGAATCCTATAGGATAGTTCAAAACCCCTACAGAAATTATCTCATTCTCCATTAAATTATGGAGGGCTTTAGAATTATTACAGCAGAACCCTATTAAACATCTGTAGAGTCCTATGGATTTCATCTCTACTAATGCCTATAGAGCTTTTCCATACAGGATATTATTAAATACAACTATTAAGCACTTATACCTTGCTCTCCAGCTTCAGAAATAGTGCAGTTTATTCATATTTTTGCATCAAGTAAAAAATTCAAATTTATTTCAAGGTATCCATAAAGGACAAGCTCTCAACAACTGAATGCTGCAGACTCAATTATTTCTGAAATAATGTGGTATAGCCTAGTGGTTCTCAACCAGAGGTCTGGGGACCCTTGGGAGGGCGCGAGCAGGTTTCAGGGGGTCCATCAAGCAGGGCCAATGTTAGACTTGCTGGGGCCAAGGGCAGAAAGCCGAAACCCCACTGCATGGGGCTGACACCTGGGGCCCTGAGCCCTGCCACCTGGGGCTGAAGCAGGAGCCTGAGCAACTTAGCTTCATGGTGCCCCCTGTGGCATGGGGCCCCGGGCAATTGCCCTGCTTACTACTAGCTAACACCAGCCCTGGCTTTTATATGAAGAAAAACAATTGTTGTAGCATAAGTGGGCCATGGAGTTTTTATAGCATATCGGGGGGGCCTCAGAAAGAAAAAGATTGACAACCCCAGGTACAGTCAGTAACAGCTAATACGTGCAATATTACATACAACCCCCACCCCATATTAAAAGAATTATATTTAGGTTACAAAGTCAAGCACTCCAAAGTTTAAAAATGACAGAATTTAAGGTATTTCAGGTTACCTGTGCAATCTTAACTCCGCCCCCTTGCGCATCTGTATTATGATACGCTCTTTAATTACATGATCTCATACTATTTTTTCCACAAGACCCCAGCTCATTCAGTGCACAAGATGGAGGATGCTCTGAGAATGGTACAGCTATTCAATATTACTTTTATCCTCATCGCTCTATGTGCGGCCCCTGCCTTATTCACTGCACGCCCTTCTAAACTTGCACTGAATAGGGAATTATTAGTTTCCTCATGGGCTTTCCTTTGGAGCTCATCACAGCAGTATCTAAGCCTAACAAATATTAATTGCAAGGGAGAGAGGTTTCAGAGTGGTAGTCGTGTTAGTCTGTATCAGCAAAAAGAACGAGGGGGGTTTCCACAGCTTGGAAACTGAGGCACAAAGCGATTAAGGACATTTGCAAAAAAAAGTCTGCTGATTTTTGAGCGCCTCAGTGGTTGTTTTGAAAGAGAGAAGTTTGGAAATGAAGCATATTTCACCCCCAGTGATTTCTTTCTCTGTTCCTCCACTAAGTGCCTTGCAGCTATGCCACGGGGTTTTGTAGGAGAAACAGGGTTTTGGACATCGCTGCTCTGTTTTTACCCCTCGGAATGCATGCAAAAGTATGCGCACTTTAGCAGCTCAGCCAGAAGAATGAACTGTTAAGAGACAATTAGTGTAAGAGTTAATTAGTATAAGGGAAAGAATAAATTAGCATGCCCTGCAGCTGGTTTCTTTTAACTATATGGTACTTAATGATAATTGACAAATACAGAAGTCTGATGCCCCCAGTGGTTGTAACTAATAGCTAGGACAAAGGCTGTCACTAATTAAGGCCTGGTTTTCAGAAGTGCCCAGCACTGACTCACCGCTCTGAGCACAGTCAAGGGATGCGTAAGATCTCTGGAAATTAGGCCCTAAGAGAGAGGGCTGAACACATGGAAAGGGGACAAGGAATAAGTAAGAGCACAGGACAGAGCAGAAGAGACTCAAAGCCTAGCTCTGGGTGTTTTGGTCTGCATGTGGACGTACTGCTGTGCCCAAAGCCCAGCTCCTCTGCTTATGGGTCCCTTGGACAGTTGTGTGCTTCCCTTGTGTCTACAGAGCAGGGAAGGCCTCAGTGGCCCGGAGGGGCTCAATCACAACTCCACTATAAAGAGGCTTGGCTTTCAAGGCCCCTCGGGGAGGGAAGAGAAGGGACCTTTCAGGAGAAGGAGATGGCACAGGATGCTGTAAGTGGCGGGGCATGGGGCAGGTTGGGTTTAGCAGACCTGACTGATTTACAGATGGCTGGCTTGCTTTGGTGGAGAGGGAGACGGCATAGATCAAGCTGGGGAAGCCTTGTTATTTCTTAGGTCTGGGGTGCAGAAAACATTAAGGGAGCTTGTTAAATTGAGGGTTCTGGGACTCCATGGGGTTGACCCACTGAAAAAACAGCAAGGGGAGAAGAAAAGCAGATTCCCTTTGGGACTCAGAGTTAAAGGCTCTCCAGTTGGATAGTCACTGAGCATGAGAATGACTCCATAGCCTGATGGGTAGGGCACTCCCCTCGGGTATAAGAGACCCAGGACACAGGCCTCCCGCTCCAATGGCTATTTAATTGTTTAGACACAGTGGAGCAGCTTGAAGAGGAGAGAGTGAGGCAGCCCTCTTACTGGAATACCCTATCGCTCAGTGATAGGGAACTCACGTGAGAGATGACAGAGCCTGGTTCAAATCCCTTCTCCCCAGGCAGAGGGAAGAATTAAAGCCAGGTCTCCTCCACCCTTTGTTTCTTTTTGCTTTTGTCCAAATGCACGAAAGTGGAAATGTCTCAACTCCAGAGGTTTGGGTTTTGTGATGCTGCAACATTCCGATTCGGGTTGAGTGGCAATTTTTGTTTCAACTTCTCGCTTTGCCGGAATATTTCATAAAACACTGGTTTTGGTTTGACCCCAAATGATTTGTTATTTTTCTAAACTGCCAGCGAAACAAGAAATCCCTTATTCATTCAGCGCCTGTCACAACTCCCAGTCAAAATGCCCACGAAGTGTAAAGCCTGCTAGCACTATGTGGCTGTGCCACCCTCTAATAGCTGGTCCATGTAACTTAAGAGCCTACTCCACATTGTCAGGAACTCAGCCAGAGGCTGTGGGTGCATTACAGGAGTGGGTGAGTGAGGTCTGTGGCCTGCAATGTGCCAGAGGTCAGAGTAGATGAGCATGGTGGTCCCTTCTGGCCTTCAAGTCTATGAGCTAGCTGCTAAGGGAGGGACTTGATCAGCTCAAGCAGTAGCAGCTTGCATTTTGGGGACTGAAGGTGCCAGGTTCAACTCCCGCCTCCCCCCCAACAGCACGAAAGGGGCTGGTTACGCAACGGGGAACACCATGGTTACACATGGAAAGGGAGGTGTGTTCAGCCCAGGTGTGTCAGCTGACGTGGTTTCTAAGAGACAGTAGGGCTTTAAGACGCTGCTCTGGCTGTACAACCCAGAGCTAAGCCTTACCCTGCCAGCCCCAGCCCACTCCAGGGACATCTTTTTCCAGACCGTCCAGACTCCCGCCAGGGCTCTTGTGGCAAAGTCCCAAAATGCAGCCTGAGAGTCTGGTGCTAGAGTCCAAACACACGCAAACAGCCCTGACTCCTCCCTCCTGGCACCCAGGCCCCCTCCAGAGATCTGATCTTGCCGCAAGAGGCAAGAGCAAAGGGGAAGAGACCCCCCCTCCCCCCCATGGGCTGCAGCAACCCCCATGGTGCAGGGAGAGACAGGGTGGAGAAGCGTGCTCTGCTCATATTCCTATGCTCTGTCTAAACAGGAGCAGCCTGGGCCCATTCTTAGACTTCAAAACGCTGCCCCGAAGCCACTCGCTCTCCCTCGGGGATGCCAGGCAGTCCCTGCAATGGGATAGTGTGACCCCTCCTTGGCCTTGAAGGGTCAGTATGCCCCATGCCAAGCCCTCTTGGTTGTTCATCTCCAAGTGAAGACATGCCCCTCATTCCACCACATCCTGGATCAGTTCAGCGGCAGGTCAAGGGTGTCTTGGCGTAGGACGGTACTCATGCTTTGGGCTCTTTCCCCCACGGGAACAGTCCTTGCTGGGATCCCCTCAGAATCCAGCCTCCAGGTCAGCACCGCGCTGGGCCAGTTTCCCCTCTTGGCAGAGCTATTAGCTGTGCCGACCTGGGGATAAAACTATATCCCATGCCAATGCCACCGGCCGAGAAGAGCAATCCGGGGCGGGCGGGGAGAGGGGACAGCTTTTCCAGTACAATATAAAATACCAGGCTCTCCTACCTTAAATACATAATGGATATTTCTTCTCTCGGAGCATTTCAGGGCAATAAAAGCAACAGTGTCCAACAAGGTGTTCTGCAGCATACATGGTCCAAAACTGGCTTCCTCTGGGATGTCTTGAGTGGTATGGACAGTTGCAAACACATCTGGGAAATGATGATGCAAGAGCTTGTTGTCACTCGTCCAGAGGAGTTTAGGCAAAGATGTCAGTTCCATCCTCAACCTGCAACAAAGCAAGGAATCACTTACACTGGGGATAGGAAATTGAGGGGGGGTGGGGGATAAATCTGATCATGATTTATACCACAAAGGCTGTAAGGAATTGGAATTGAATTATAACCGGATGGGAGCTTTAAAGCTACTGGGGACCAACACATTGGCATTGGTGGAGTTTTCCTGGCACATGGGAGCTTGTGGCTTTATTGATGTCCAGCCCAGAAAGAGACAAGCTATTCCGCACTAAAGCAGCAATCTTAATCTTGTGAATAAATCAGTCAATCTTTTCCAGGGCACTCAGTCAGCTGCTCCCACGGCCCAGTAGCTCCCACGATGCTGACCGCTTATACCCAGGACCATGAAGCTTTGGGCACAGTAGGGAAAATCTCCAGTTGATGAAAAGAAAGCCAACTAGTCCACCCTAATCTCAGTCCTGTCTATTACAGGATCACAGGCTGCCGGACTTTCTCAAGACACAGTCATTGTTCACTTCGGCCCCCAAAATGGAAATGCTGGGATTGTTCCAAATGCTTGTGGCTTTTCTTCATCAACTGAAGATTTCTCCCATTCTGCGTGCTGCCTTTTATGTCTTGTTTGTACTTTGTAGGGTCTGAGCCACGGTGTCCTGGCCAGATTCCAGCTGGGAAAATTACAGTCCACTACCTAAAATGCCCCTTTCTTTCCTGGCCTGCTTTGTTGAGCCTTGATGCTGTGTGCTGTTAAATGCCTGCCGGGCTGCACCCCTGAGGTGGCTGCATTTCAATTTACATTAGATTAGCTAGTAAATAAAGTGATTTGAGATCCTTCTCGGTTAGGGTGAAAGGCACAGTGTAAATTAGAGGTAGAGAAGCAGCGGTGGGTTCTGGTTTGGCAGAACCTCCTCAATCCAGGTTTGGGTTTTGCAGAACCAAACTAAGGATGGTTTGGATCCAAATTGCATTCAATCTGAACACCCAGAACCCATGAGGGTTGGATAAAAGGGTCATTTTTGTCCCATTTTAATATCAATATCATTTGTGACAGTTATGAAGGCCCGAGCAGACTGTGACTCCTCTACCTGCGTCCCGACATGGCGATCTCAGACATTGCTAACAATATAGCCGGGGCAGTATGTTCTCGCAGTTCAGCTGGCATGAAGGTATTTGTCAGTGAATAGCGGGCAATGCTATTAAATGAATCAGAGCTCAGACGCTATCTCCAGCACTTTGGGGCCGAGCCTGGGAATTCCACACATGGTTAGGTTGCAGGATTGGGCCCTTTGCCATTTCAGGGTTCTGTGGGTTATTTATGGAGACATAGCTCCATCAAGCTCCCACTGAAGGCAGTGCAAAGATCCTCATTCACTCCAGTGAGAGCTGGATCAGGTCCATAAAGCAGAGAGACTGAAAGAGAACAGTAACCAGGGCCGGCTCTAATTTTTTGCCGCCCCAAGCAAAAAAAAAAAGAGCGCCCGCCCTGCCGTAACAACCCCCCCCCAGCGCTGCCCCGCCCCGCCGTAACACCCCCCAGAGCGCCGCACCGACAAAACACCCCCCCGAGCGCCACGCCGCCGAAACACCCCCCCAGCGCCGCGCTGCCGAAACACCCCCCTTGAGCGCTGTGCCGCCAAAACAAAAACAACAAAACCTCAAGCGCCGCCCCACCGAACCAAAAAAGAAAAAAAAAGAACCCGAGCGCCCCCTGCCACCCCAAGATTGGCCGCCCCTTACAAGGTGCCGCCCCAAGCACGTGCTTGGTCGGCTGGTGCCTGGAGCCAGCCCTGACAGTAACAAGCTCTGAAGAGCTCTTGGCCTTAGAAATACCGAGATGGAAGGACAGAAGAGCCAATCTAACCTCTCTCACTTTGTGCCAATGGGATTGTTTTGTCACAATGTGACTTAGAGCTTAAGCTAATGGGATGTAAAGCACTCAATACGCCAGAGAGTGGCACTGACCCAATTCCAGTTCTACCTCGATTTAGTCAAATCAGAACAGTTTTCTCATATAGGCAAGGTCTACATCCCCATCCTGTAAAGATTTCAATACATGCTTAATGTAATGCACTGTGAGTAAGTCTTTGCAGGATCACGGTCTAAACAGACAAGATGCTAAGACAGACAGAAGACGGGAGAGGAAACAAAGGGACAAGGCGGTAAAATGCCAAGTGCCCAAGGTCATAGGGCAGGTCACTGGCAAGATGGGACCAGATCCTAAGTCTCCTGACCCCCAGCGCCAGAGACAACTCACACTGGTGCATGCTGCCTCTGGCTAGGGTGACCGGATGTCCCGATTTTATAGGGAGAGTCCTGATATTCTGGGCTTTGTCTTATATAGGCGCCTATTACCCCCCACCCCAATCCTGATTTTTCACACTTGCTGTCTTGGTCACCCTACCTCTGGCTGCATTATGCTGCTCATGGCTGGCGGTGGAACTAGACTGGGTAGTTGTGCTTTCAGTTGATCAGTTTCACTTCCTGGCTCCCAAGTACTATCCCATGCCCAGTGCTGCTATGTTTGTGTGACACCACCACTGGGATACTATATAACTATAGAATTTCTTTAAACACTGTTTTCATTTAAATGTATGGGAGGACGGGGTTTACTTAATGAAAACATTCTGTTCACATTCGTTTTTAAAAAGCACTTCAAAAGAAAACAACAGAGCATAAAGATGTTGGCCTAAATTACTAAAAAAAAAAATCTATAGGAATAAATTATGGGCCATGGCCCAGATCCTTTGTCAAGGAAGGTTACTACTCCCTTAGCAAAGCAGGGAAATGCCATAAGCTGGGAATCAAGCTGGGAATCAAAGCAGGGGGTACCCGTGTTAGTCCTTATCTACAAAAACTACAAGGAGTCTGGTGGCACCTTAAAGACTAACAGATTTATTTGGGCATAATTTTTCATGGGTAAAAACCTCACTTCTGAAGAATGCATCTGAAGAAGTGAGGTTTTTACCCACGAAAGCTTATGCCCAAATAAATCTGTTAGTCTTTAAGGTGCCACCAGACTCCTTGTTGTATAAGCTGGGAATGGTGTTGTCTTCCTGGTATTATTCTATCTACCTACCTAAGTTCCTAGAAAACAGCTCCGCTCCCTGTGACTGGCCAGACCAGCGAACTGGCCTGACTAATATAGTGTTAAAAGAACAGGAGTACTTGTGGCACCTTAGAGACTAACAAATTTATTTGAGCATAAGCTTTCGTGGGCTACAGCCTACTTGTAAACCCCTAGTGAGGAGTAGGGGCATTCCAGAGCAGGCCGGCTCCCCGGTGGAGGAATGTCACAGGCTGACTAACCCTTTAAGGCAAGAGATGCTCAGCCTGGCCCAAGGCCTAGCAGCTACCCCCCCTCCCCACCCCCAGCTGATGGTAATGTGGCAACTGAATGATAATTAGTGAGCCCAGGTGTGAAAGGGCAGGACCAGACTATACAAGCTGAGGGGGCAACCAGCTGGGGGAGGGGTGTATAGAGAAGATAGGAGGACTCACAAGGTGCACTGGTGTAGGTGAGTGGGAGCTCTGACAGGGCCTAAACAGGCAGATAGGAGGACCCACAGAGTGCAGGTTTGGCTCCTGTGCAGGAAGCCCTGGGTGAGGGCCTGCAAGGAGCAGGGGGATCCCCAGTGGCAGAGGGTCAGTGAGGGAAGCCCTGCTAGGACAAGAAGCAACAGAGGGAGAGCTCTGCAGGAGCAGGTCAGGCTCCTGTGGGAGAGGCCCTGACATAGGGTCAGTAACAGCACCTCAATGGAGCCTGGGTGGGGTGTGGGGGGAGAGTTACTAGCTGGATGTTTACCTTGGACTTTCAGTTTGATCTTTTGTTACCCTGGAAGGGAACTGAGCTTTGTGTGGCTTGGCTGGAGGTGCTGAGCCACTGAAGACCGGGTGAGATGCAGGAGGCCCTGGAGACATTGCAGCATTGCACCCTTGAAGCATTGCACCCTGACACTAGGGGTGCAGAGTACACTATCTTACAAGGAAGAACCACTGAAGCTGGGTCTATTTGAAGTGTAACTTGCTCTACTTACACACACAGGTCCTGGAACAGAGGTGGTTGCAAACTGCACCCAGACAGTCCCCCACTTCTGGAAATCTCAGCTCATGCACCAATGCCTAGTTCCCCGGAAGCTTCTCTGTCCTGAGAATTGCCTCCAAATATGGCAGCTAGAGCAAAGTCTAAACTGTCTGCTACCTACCACTTCTCTTCGCTTAACTCTTCTTCAAGGACTATATACTGCATCACAAAACCAACCACCTGCAAGCCTGTCTGCCAAAGACTGAAAACTTGCTCATATGCTAAGAAAGCCTCACATGCTCTCTATGTGTAACAGTGCCATCTGGTGATGGCTGCCATAATATATTCCCCCAAGACCTGTGAATATCTGGAGTGTTCCACAGATGCACAAGTCAGTCACATGAAGGCTCAAGGCCTTAGCAGTGCAGCCCAGCCTCCTCTTTGACCCTCCACCAGCAGCCATGCCACTGGGGCACCCCACTGAGTAATGCCCTCAGGGTACCCCCAAAAAGGGCATTACTGCATAGGGAAAGTGGGGGTGCTAATATTGACAGCTCCACTGTGTGTGGTGATCCAACTTCTGCCACAGGCCCAGCCCACCACCTCCCCCCAACAAACCACAGAGGGTTTCCAGAGGTTTTGGGTCAGGGGAGGGAACTATGTCACAGACCGCATGATCCCTACTTCTGTGCCCACTGCCCAGCAGAACCTGCTGGCTGCCTCCCAATCATCTCTGGCCATGGAGGTGAAGGGAAGATATGGCTCCTTGTTAAAGGGATTGCATTGTCACACACACAGCTATAGGGAAGGTTGCTGTAGTGCTCTCCTGTTACTTCCCGGTATGACTGTGTCTTCTGTAACACTGCACTCTCTCTGCATGAGGGATCATCAGGGAATGGGGATTGATTGGGAATCTCAGCTAGTATCTCATTAGCCCATTTTCACGCCATCCCACCTTTAGCGTCTCTCCAATGCAACATGTCAGCTTTGTTTGCTTGTTGCTCAATGACTGAA